TAAAGTGCAACCTGATCACATAGCTCAGTAATCTGTGCTTAGTGGCAGACAGAGATCTCTTTAGACTTGTTATGTCCAGTAGATGTGGGATTTTAAAAATCATTTTAATAGTGTTACTGTTGATCCGAGCTCCTCTGCTCCTGAGTGTTACTTGAGCTCTATGATTGAGGAGCATAAAGCAACTTTTCTACTATGGGTAATTCCATCCATTGCCTCCTTTCCCACAGGAGGTTCACTTTAAACTGAGTGCTATGGTTTAACTCCAGCCAGAAATTAAGCACCACACAGCCAGCAGCTCCTTCTGCCACTGAGGGGATGGGGGAGAGAATTGAAAGGAAAACGTGGGGAAATTAATGGGTTGAGATAAAGCAGTTTAAGAGGAAAAACAAAAGTCACTCACACAAACAAAGCAAAACAATTCACTTCTTCTCATGGGCAGGCAAGTGTTCATCAGAGCTCCATCACATACAGCACACACATTCCATACTAGGGGAGACAAATTCCAGAGCTCTGAACAACCCCTCTTCCTCCTTCTTCCTCCAGCTTTATACGCTGAGCATGATGCCATATGACATGGCATGTCCCTTTGATCGGTGGGGTTCACCTGGCCCAGCTGTGTCTCCTCCCACATTCTTGTACACCCACAGCTAGTGAGGAAGTATGAAAACCAGAAAAGGTCATGATGCAGTACAAGCACTGCTCTGCAATAACAAAAAGAAGTCGGTATTATCAACACCATTTTCAGAACAAATTCAAAGCAATCCCGTACTAGCTACTGTAAGGAAATTAACTTTATTCCAGACAAAACCAGCACAGTGAGTCAGAAGCCTCCTGAAAGTTACATGAGGTGACTGGGGTCCTTCTGCCATTGCTGTTACTGGTAGCACTTGAACTTTTGTCTTTTTTTTTTTTTTAATGTCTAGTAAGTGGAGTGTAGTAGTAAGTGGAGTGTAGTCTTTGTTTTGCAATTCTTTGTTCATGGCAGGAATTCTGGAAAGAGTTCACTACCTGATGGCCAATATGTGTGGGACAGGTCCAATGCTAAGGGGTTGGAAGCACCGTCTGAAGAAAAGGAAGTGGCACTATCTAGGTTTTTGAAGAAAAGGCTGAGTAACGCTACTAAGGCTCAGAAACTGCTATTCCTTGTGTCTTAGCTGTTCCCATTTCTCAAGAAGCAGCAGCTATCAGGGACTCAAGTCCAGTAAGACAGCATCTTAAACAATGAACTGCAACTTGTGAAGGTCACTGGGTACTGGGGGAGCCAGAATTAGTCTTCTCTTGTCCAAATATAGTTGGACACTACCTGCTTCTGAAAGCAAAGTGAGCTCACTGTGATCCTAGAGAATCAGCTGGGCTCTCAGCAAGGGTGGAAGGCCTATTCCTATGAAATGCTATGAGGTACAAGGGGACGAAATTCCAAAAGTTTTGACAGACCTGACCTGCACATAGTTAACAACACAGTCCAGATGGGTCATTAACCAAGACATACATACTGCAAGGAGCCTTTCCTAAGTCAGTGAAAAGAGCATTTGGAGCATGGCAGAGTTCTGCTTCAGAGGTGATGTTTTTAATCTGTAGTAATTTTTAAAATGCATGGTGTGTATATATACAAAGACTAATGATGGATGTACATCGGCAGGGGCACACTCAACTTGTTCATGAAGTATCACAAAGAGGCTTGATCATATGCTCTTTCAGAACAATTGTCCAAAAAATAGAAGCAATCTGGTGACTTGTTTTAATGTCTTAGAACTAAGCTAACAGGGGCTCCCACTGAAACAGGGCTGGGCCTTTGCAAAGTCAATAGTTTATTTACTGACTAAGAATAAAGAGCCCTGGAATATGTTTGTAGATGTTAGTAATGTTTTTCATTAGCTGAAGATGGCATTAGGTCTTGATCATGGTAAGCTTATTCATTAGTCTCAGTGAAATTCACAGGCCTGTTTGCACGGTGAAAGTAACAATGAGACCTGGTGGGGAAAAAGAAATAGAAAAGGCAGAAACTGTGCATTCACCCCTTCGAAGAGGAGGCAAAAAAATCCAAACCAGCAACTGAGAAGATTTCGTGCTTTATCAAAAAACAAGTCAAAGTAACAGAAAATACACTGAAAGGTTCTACATTTCTCTTGCCCTAAAGCTGATATGGCATTTGTTAAATATCTCCTAGACACAGCTTAACCATTGGTAAAGTTAACTATTTTCCTTGATAAATGCACTTAAAATTTAAACAGATTAATTTGTTTCTGTCAGAAAAAAATATTTTCAGTCCCACCCTATCCTCTTCACAAGACTTTTTCTTTACTGTAAATCTCCATAGACTATTGAATTGTCTCATTATTTAATACATTCTTCTTCCTACTTGGATGCATTAAAATAAGGGGGTGCTTTTCTCCATGCTTGATGACTCTGCCATCTTCCCTGCACCCACGCTGAGATGACTTCACTCATCCTGCAAGAGCACTTTGCCAGTGCCTGGGAATTGCACCTTTCCCATTCCCTAGATTTGGTAAAAGACAACACACAAATCGCACATTTTTGTGAAGAAACCTACATCAAGTAACATTGCAGCCGGTGATCAGAGAAAATCCCAGCAACCTGAGATTGGGAAGGGACATCCCCTGTCATTGCCTGGATGTACAGTAGCTCACAAAAGCAGGAATTTAAGGAGGCCCTCCTATTTTACAGAGCCTTCCTAATAGCTGTGTGTGGGTTCCTGGACAGGACAGCAGCTCAGATGAGCGAGGAGCTGGAGAAGGACCCTTCCAGGTGAGATGCTGCAAACACTCGGCAAGCTGACAGGGGGTAGATTTGTGCTGAGGAGGAGCAGTCTGGTCCCGTTGTCTTTGTTTCCTTTTCTAATGACGTTATCACACTAGTTCCATAGATTATCCTGCTGCGTAGCTGGGTCGCAAAGGGTTAAAATAGAGGGCAGCATCTGTACTTTTAAAACTATGTACGACAAAGTCCATTGCTTGAAGTCTGGGTCCTTTCTCCCCTCCGCCCCTCCCCAGCTTCCAGTAATCATTTATTATAGAGGGGTTTTATGATACAAATTTGATAATCTCCCATACACATTGGCACTGTTCTAATTGGAGTTGTAAGCCCATAAAATTCAAGCCCTTTGTTTTCATGAAGGCCACAAGGTTTTAAAAGATGCTATTGTACCGCCTAAAACCCATAAAATTGTCACTAGGGACTGATTAAACAGTCCTGAATTGAAACAGTGCGGATTTTGTCTAGGTCCTTTTCATGCACAACAATGCTCTTTTCAACCTCCAAGACAAAAGGAGGTTTAAGGAGCGATTCTCTGGGAGATTCTTCTAAGATAACCCCATCCATATGGGAGACAAGGTGGCCAGCAGCTGAGACGAAAAAAAAAGAGATTTCGGATGGCAGGAGGAAAAATAAAGGGAAAGGGGCGGGGGAAAGACAACAACAACAAAAAATCAAAACCCAACAACCAACCAAACAATAAAACCAAACCCAGGTGACACAGAAGCTATGTTTCCCCAGGTCCTTCCCGCACAGCCCAGAGGCCTGATCCGCTCTGCGCCCCCGTCTTGGCACACGGCTCCCTGTCCAAGCAGGGAAGGGAATGTAGGTGGGAGAACTGGCGTCCCTTCCTTCTCCCCAGCCTGTCCTGCGCTGTAGCTGGGTCTGATCCTCCCACACCGAGGACAGAGGCGACACCGAGCCGCCCAGGTGGAGGGTGCGAATCCCTGTATATGGTAGGGCTGGGAGGAGAGTGGGGCCATTCTGGCAGGGGAGGCGGCCAAAATCACCCACGGAAACCGGTGTGTGCTTTTGGTTGCCTCCTCATCCGCCACGGCATCAGCAGCACCTCCCAGCTTCGCTCTCCTGGGCTCCCCAGCATGTGAAGGCAGCGTACCACATCCCAGGAGCACACTTCATCCAAAATTATCCCCTTCCAGGGAATAAATAAAAAAAATAGATATAATAAAATCCCCACTCAAATATCTTTTGCAGGTCCCTTTCCGTCGACCTTTTCCTCGGCGTTGTCTGCATCAGTCCCCGTGGGGTCTTTGCCCCAAATATTCCCTCCGTTCGTGGTCCGCAGGTACTGTCGGAGGGTTGGAAGCAGCCAGTCTAGTCCATATTTCAGGGACCTAGGTTTAGCTCTGGAGGGGATTTTAGGGCTTTTCCCCCATTGGTGGTTGGCAAAAAATATATGTTATTATTTTAACCCCGAAGTAATAAAATCGGCAGTATATCAAATAATTTTAAAACATAATTTTCTTGGCTATCCTTTCCCAGTCGAAATTTGGAACGGTTTCGGGCTATCGGAAAGATTGCCTTAATTCTGGATCCTGCCTTAATGTCTCTATGGAAGACATCGCCGCTTGAAACGCACAGCCGTGGGGAGCAGAGGTCTCCAGAGCGGGAGACTCCCGGCTCACGCTTCCCACAGGAATTATCACCGCGTTTACAGTGAGATGCTTGCAGCAAAATTTATTTGCCGTTTACCGGCTCATATGAATAAAATAAACGAACTTGAAAGTCAAATTCGACTGGAGCTATCGAGACAAGTATTTAAGATTTTATAGCACAGGAGGCAATCCTACGAAACAAGAATCGTTTCGAATCGTCGCAACTACACTTCTCCGCCGGGAAAAACTTATTTGCCGAAAATCATTTTATTAGTCACTGGGAGAGTCAGCTATTTTAAAGTACACTAGGTCGCTAAGCTGATCATTAATTTTTAACAAGGAATCTTTCGAACGGGAGGAGGAGGAGCAGAGTTTTACAAAATTCGCTCCTCACGCGGCATCCTCGCCCTCGGGTGAGGCCGGCGTAGGGGAGCGTGGCCCCGGCCAGCTTCGTCCCGGGCTGCCGCCGCCCCGGAGCCGCGCTCCGCCGCCCGGCCCGCCCGGGCCCGACCGCGCGGTGCCCCGCAGCTTCCCCGCGCTACAGCCCGGGGCTGGGGCGGGCCGCCCCGCGCCCGTGGGATGAGTCCGGCCCCAGAGGGCTAAGTGCCGCTGTCACCATCCCCAGGAGACGACGGCGGGATGCGCTAAGTGCTGGTACGCGGGGAAGACGCCGAGGGCGGCGGAGGGCGGGCAGGCTCGGTAGCCCTGTAGGGCGAGGGCGGCCTGGGCGCTGCATCCCGCCAGGGCGCAGCCCAGCTTGGGGCGTGCCGTGGGCGCCGGTGGACTGGCGGGGCAGCCGCGGCAGGGCTCCCCGTCCCGCACCAGGACCGGCACCACCACCCGGCGCAGCAGGGCGGGCGGGCGCGGCTGGGGGCTGCCGGGGCCCTCGCTTCGCGCCCTCTTCATCTTGTAGCGGTGGTTCTGGAACCAGATCTTCACCTGTGTGGGGGTGAGGCTGAGCAGCCGGGCTAGCTGCTCCCGCTCCGGCGCCGAAAGGTATCGCTGCTGCCGGAACCGCCGCTCCAGCTCCAGCGTCTGCGCCTTGGAGAAGAGCACCCGCCGCTTCTTTTTCTTCTCCTCGGCCTCCGAGCCGCGGGCGGGGAGCGACCTTTGGGTGGAGTCGGGCAAGCTCATCTCCGGGCCGCTCTCGTCGGAAGCTGGGGACAGCGAGTGGGTTAGAGAGAGGGAGCAGCCGGGGCCGGGGAGCGAGGCAGGCATCGAGGAGGCCGCTGAGAGCTGAAACACCTCTCGCAGGGAGATCCCCGGCTGTCTACCGTGCCGGATTAATCCCAACAGTCAACGAGAGATGTGAGCTAACCCCAGGAATACATTAAACCTAGCCCACGGGATGGAAAGGACTGTCCTCCCGTGGGTGACCCGCTTTTGCCGGCAATCCCCTCAGGGGCACGGCCGCTCCACCGCGCATAGCCCGGGGATTGCGGGCTGCCAGCCCTCGTGTTCCCCGGCTACTGAAACAGAATATAGGACTGCCTGGTCCTCTCATAACTGCTTTTCACTCGCAGCTCTATTACCTTACTATTTAACTTATCCCGGTGGTGTTCCCGCACCCATTCAAAGGACGATCTCTCCCTGCGCACACACAGGTATACGATAAACGCCGCGTTATCTGCGACACAATTTATGTGTGCGAGGTGCGACCAATGTGCTGCACAGCTGGGCTTGCGAATTGCAGCCTGCCCGGCAGCGGCAGGTGCGTGGATCTGGGCGGTGGCGCGCAGGGCGCTCCGCGGCAGATCGGGGAGGCGAGGCACGGGAGTGCTCAGCTTTCCTCTGCGGAGCGTGGAGCGGCCTCAAACCCTTCAGCACAAAAAGACAGGATTTCTTGCAACAGTGAAACGGGGGTAAAAAAATAATCCAGAAAGTGGGCTTAAACGATAAACGCCCAGAGAGAGGTGGACACAGCCTGAGGCTTTGGTTTCTGACGTAGCTGGGAACATGCACAGACTTACCAAAAAAACCCTCCCAAAACCTCCCAAAATAACCTACAACAAAACCAAACCCTCTTTTCTATCTTAAGATAGTGGCAGGGGCATTTCTGCTGTTCCGTTGTTGCGATTCAGTAATATTTTTTTAAATTCCCAGCCCGTATTCCCCCGATCCTGTAGGCTATGTACACTGTCAATTCGCTGCTTCGCATCTTCCTCAAAGGAAGGGGGAAATAAATAAAAGATAATTTTGCCATGATGGAGAATTCCTGTCTGTTTTATACTCACAGGGATAGTGATTTCTGTCTGTTTCTATCCACCCTCGATACGGCGAGCCGGTGTAGTTCTCCGCAGAGTGGTGATGTTCAGAGGCTTGCTTTACGCTATTAGCATCCTGCTCTGGTAAATCCAAAATGCTCCTCACTGTAAAACTGATCCTGCCGGATGTGGCCATGGTAGGTTGTGTACACCCCCCAAAAAAATCTCACCCCAAACCGAACCCCCTTCCTTAAAAGCTGCGAGGAAAGGATTGTGTCCAGTTACTGGGGAATCTCTCGGTTCAAGAGGACCTTCCTTTCCATCGCCACCTAACCCCAAATATTAGTGTCGTTTACAGAGGTGTCCTGTTTATATAAACAGTCCTCCCCACTGCAAACACTGCCTGCTTTCAAACCGTCCCTGTCTATAGGATGCTAAGTACCTGAATTAGTCAAGTGCTAAAGCCCTAATGGGAGTAGGTGTAACCCCCCCTCCCGCCACCCCCATGAGAGAATAACCCGTTACCTCCCAAAGACAGCAGGAAACAGGCGTCATCATTACATATTCTGTCTGATTAGCCAAAAGTGGGGACAGATAATGGTAATTGTTAGCAGTGAATAACATCTTGGGTGGCATGTGGATGACCAACAACCACCCCCCTCCATCCGCCACCGAAGCCACCAGCGTCCCTTCTATCCGCAGACAAAGTGAATCCTCCCAGGACATCCGCAGAGCATGCCGAGAGCCCCCTCCCTACTTCTCCTTCTTTATTTCCCCCCCTCTCTTGCCTCTTTCTTTAAATCTGGAAGGAATTTAAGTCATTATTTTTTTTATTTGCCGGGCTGTTTGCAGTGCTACCTCAAATTCTCTTTTTGTTGTTGGCAGGTTTCCTACCCTCAACAGGGCACTTTTCACACCTCGGCTGAGCTGTCGGCGAGAAAGGCTGGCGGGTGTGTGCATTAAGGAATGGGATCTCTGGAATGGGGTTTTTTGCGTCTCCTGGGCATGGTAGATGGAAGGTGCATCTTTTTCTCGAGAAAGATAATGGCGGGAGCTTGGCATACTCGGTCCATAAGGAAGAGTCGGAAGAGGGGTAGGGGTGTTTTTTGTTGTGTTTTTTTTTTTTTTTTAATCACCAGTTTGCGTTGTACTAACCCAGGGAATATCCCCTTGGGCGGGGTGTGTGAGTGACTGAAACGACTCCAGCTGGGGAGAGGGAGAAAAGATCAAACACGGCGCGTCTATTTATCCACGCCGTCCTTGCAGACCTCCGCTTCATCTGCCGAAAGAGGCAGCAAACGAAGCCGAGGACCGGCGCCCCGCGGGAGAGGGTGCTGACACTTTCTGGGCACGGTTTGGGGATGCCCGGCGGCAGCTCCGCGGGACAAGCACCTTCTCTCAGTTCCACCTCCCCTCATCCTTTCAGTGGCAGCCCCGTCCCCCCGCCAAGCTGTGGTCGGGTTTTGCCCAGCCTCGGTGGCCGCCGAGGACTTACAAGAAAATACGATACAGAAACAAGCAGTCCGGCGTGCCGTTCAAATGCAAGCCCGCGGTGGCCGGCAGGGCTCGGTCCCCAGCTGCAGGGCAGCGGTACAAGTGGCCGATGGGGGCGATGTTTCACGCGGGTCGCGGAGCGTGGGTCAAGCCGTGGGAGCGCAGAGGGCGGAGGCGGGACACGCTCCCAGCCGCCCGCAGCAGCTCCCTGTGTGCCTTCCCCACAGCTCCCCGACAAGGGGGCTTCGCGGCAGGGACGGGCACACGCCTCGGAAAGAAGTGGGAGGCGAGTCCGGCTGGATGGAGCAAAGCCTGGAAGGAAGGAGACACCCAGCCTCTCCCCAGCAGATCAGCTTTCCTTTAAGGCGGGCCGAGGCTCTCACAACTCATCCCCGACGGGGGAGCGTCGCGATGCACTGCGGGCCTGCAAAGAGAAACTCAGATACACGCGGAGATACTCCTCTCTCCGGCCGCTTTGTTGGTTCTAATTTCCCTGTCCAAACAGGCATCTATGAGCTATTGTGTGTAGATTATATCTATCCAGCCCCTCTCTCGTCCCTTAGACCTGCTGCCCGCGTGCCCCCGGCCGCCACCGCCCCTCCCAGCCCTGGTCTGGATGTCGCTTCTGGGAGCAGTTTCAATTCTTGGGGAAAATGTCAATAGAGCAATAACGACAAGGGAGAGGTGAGATTTATATCGGCGAGATTTGTGGGCGAGATGAACGGGGCACAAGGCTTCATTTGGCCACCTTCCCGCATATTTCTTCGGGACTGGACAGGCTCCATATAAACGATTCCCAGGCCGTGATTACTGCAGCCACCTATCAAGCGTGCCTGGTGACAGTAGTTATCTCCCAGCTCCGAGCACAGCCTCCCAGTCGTCCTGGGTGGTCGGAGCGAGGGGAGCACAAATACATGCCAACTGCTAGGCCGTGAACAAAAGGGAAATGTAGCCCTATGTCCCGGACCTGTTGGAAGCATTTGTTCCAGTCAAGATTTTGCATTTGTTCAGATCTGGAATAATAGGTGATTGACGCCTTCCCACAATGTGCTTTAACTCGCCGGGATAAATCGGAGCTTGTTCCTTGTTGTCATGGTTTTCAATAGGGTTCAATGGGATTGAACCACTATCGACTCTGCTTTACGTCTCCGGCAGCCCCGTCCATACAAATTTATTAGTTACGTCTTTTTAAATGAGATTAAATTGAAACGACGTGTCCGTCCTCGGCGGAGCGGCCACTCCCGCGGTCGCCCCTGTGTCCCCTTCGCCCCGACTGCCCGTGTCACAGCCGGGGCAGCCCACGCCGGGCGGGGGGACAGGGGCCACGGCCCCCCCGGTGCCAGGTACAGCCACGCTCACCTGCCCGGGCCCGGCCAGCGCCGCTGCCCCGCGCTCCCGGGCGCCCCGGGTATAAAAGGCGACCGAAAAGTGCTTATTAATATCTTGACCCCACAGGCAAATATTTGCTGAATGCCTGCGCAGGAGAGGAGTTTCGGGGGGGTCGAGCAGAGGAGGGGAGGTCCGGGATTCAGACCGCCACAAACTTATACAGTATCCGAGGTGGCTCTTAAGAGGAGTTTGCCAAGGACACTCTAAAGAAAGTGCAAAAACTTTGCAAGGAAAAAAAGTCAGGATGAGAGAAAGAGAGTCTACTTCAGTGACCTCTCTTAGCCTTTTAATCTATTTAACATCCTAAGCCCACACTGATGTGTAGAAATAAGTAAATGGTACTCTTCAGGCCTTAAGAGCTCTTCAGCGTCAAATATTTGCACTTACTCTTAGAGTTTTTTCTCAAATAGCGCAAGACACATTCCCCTTGGACGAGCCGAGCTGTCTAAATATACCTACGCATTGTTATCTGAGGGAAACGGTTTGCTTCAAAGGCAGAACGTAATAACCTGAAATGTTTCATCTCTTGGTTTGCTTGAGACAGACTTGGACGCTTTTCAGCTCTGGCTGCCCGGCCCCATTTCGGGGTTTGCCGGTTCGGATTTCACTCTCTCCCGCCAGACTCCTGCGTGTCTGCCCACGGGACCCTGGACCCGCCGCTCCCCTGGGGAGCATCCTCGCACCGAGAGGTGGGATTGCCGCTCACTGCTCTGTACAGGCCGCTTAGGCGGCTGTTCTCCGCGTCCCACCGAGAGCCGCGTCTTCCTCGACGGTGTCCACGGGGAAGAGACGGGGCAATCATTTCTCTGGGGATGCTAAAAGTACTCGGCAGGGCCCACGCGTGTTCTCCGCGTGGTGGGGTCCTATGGCAGGATCCGCCCCGCATGAGCCCGTCTCTGTGGGCCCACGGGGTGAGACCTTGGTGGCCTCCGTGGGCCAGGAGGGGATGGCTGAGTGTCCCCGACCACCTCGTCCCTCCAGATAAATCCTCAGAAACACTTCGCTCCCCTCAGGCCCTCGCCCCTTTAAATGAAATTTCACTTTTCCAAGGGGGTTAAAAAAAATTAAAAATCTTTGGTTGTTTTCACACTGCACGCAGCGCGCTTTCCAGCTCATTCTCCGACGACCCCCGCCGCCTGCGGCTCGTGTGAAGCGGGCTGGGAGAGTGCGGAGCCCGGGATCCCGGCCGTGTCCCCGCAGCTGCTGGAGCGGACGAGGCGGGGGCGCGGTGGCCGTGGCACCCCGTAAGGCACCCCGGTGGAAATAACCCTGCAGTGTGGACCGGGCTGCTCCCGGAGAACCGGAGCCTCGGAGGGACCGCGGGTTTTCCTGCCCGAGAGGCGGCCCGGCCCGCTGAGAACATCCTGGTCGGACCGTCCCGTCGGGGCTCTTGCCGCGCCCTTGCCTGGCAACCCTCCTTACCAGGCCCGCTGTAAAAACACCTCAGACCACCTGAGAAAATAGCGGCGGCTTTTTCTATAATTCTTTTTTTTCTTTCTTTCTTTTTTTTCCCCCCTACTTGAATGGGTTCATTTACTGTGTTCAGTGGAGGATTGCAAAGCAGATTGACCAAAACGATGTATGTGAGATGCAGAAATCAAGTTTTTTCCTAAACCAGTTGATGGTCTCTACACTTCCATAAAGGAGGAGAGAAAAAAAAAAAAAAAAGAAAAAATAATATCGATACAGAGTCCGTCTGGCTCCGATTGTTGTAGTTTCAGTTTTAAGGAGGAATCTCCATAGTATATCTGCAGGGGCATTAAATGCAATACACGGAATTGACTGAAATGAAAACCTGACTCACAGAATTTAATGTGAATTTTAGAATTTATTTTAAAACAGGCCAAAGTCCACCTTTCTGTAAAAACCAAAGAATCTTTTACATAATTTTTCCCAATAACGAACCTTCCCATAAGTTCAGACCCTTTCCCTTCATCATCTGAAAATACTGTCGTTTATCTTTCCCTCTCAACTACAAACCAGATTTAGAATTTGAAAATTAATATAACTACTTACTTGTCTTTTTGCTTTGCAACTGATACTCATTACACTTTCTAATTAGAGCAAGACTGTGGAAGACAGGGAATATACCCTACAGGAAAACTGGATTCTATGTATTTCTGTATGTTGTATTTGTCTCTCTTGCCTTGCAAAATAATGAAATGCGCTGTGCACTTTTCTTGATACATCCAAACAACCTGCTTCTCCTGGAGCTCCTTTCTTTCTTTTTTTTTTTTTTTTTTTTTTTTTTTAATGACTATTCTTTTTTTTAAGTCCCTAAATAGATTGACTTTAACCTATTAAAGACCTCAA